ATTCTCATTCATTAGCTTTTGTGTTCATTGAGCCATTTCCCAATTTTTTCCGTGCGATTCGCACACTGAAATGGTCGGTTATAATCAAGAATTTCGCTCTCGGCTCATAGCCGATGGTTTTGCTTTTTCTTTTGGATAACACGAGTCTGTTGGAAGGTCTCTAACTTTTAGGGTCTCGGCTCATAGCCGAGGTCGGCTTATAGGTGAAGAAATACGGTATCTAAGGTTTCTGTACCCCTGCTATCCCTACTTATTGATGAACCTATACAGAAATGTGTGCCTCTGTATGGAATGGGACATGTTACATATTAAGAAAGTTTAATATCATCCTCTATCTTTAAACATATCTATCAGATGACTTAAGCTGAGAGAAAATCAACAGAAATATCACTGACCACATTTTACTGCGGTTGTACAAGGATTTGTGGCTGATTTTAAATTACATCAGGAAGTTTTGGTTTAAATTTGGTTATCTTTTTAAGTTATTTGTATTATTTTTTTATTTTATAGCTCTGAGTTGTTGATTAAAAAGGGACAGACTGGTAACTTGGAAGTGGTGAGTATTTTCCAAAGTCTGTGACTTAATGTCCTTGTGTCAGTCTTAAGATCTTGAACTCTCTTTGAAAAATATTTCATGATGATGTACGTCAGTCTCTGATGCTCCATATTGGGGGTTTGGGCATGGGGCCAATCACCTTACCCGGTAAAATGTATTAAAGCTTAATTACAAAAAGAAATAAGATACTGAGGATTACTGGTTATCACTACTGCAGAACAAGGTTGCACCCAGGCTCTGGTTGGCTTGGTTATTGTGTTTTTGTGTGCTGATCCTGGGCAAGACACTGATGTCAGTACCATATAAAATTTATGGTGAACAGTATTGAGAATATGCGTACTGATGTTAGAGTTTAAAGTGTTAACCCTTCTGCTCCTGAGGGTGTTCATCTCACAGATTCTCCTTTCAATTTTGACACACTGTCAATTGGACTGGTAATGAGAGTTAATATGGGGATAATGTGAAACTTGAGGAACTGTTCTCGGGTGACCTTTGACAGATCCATATCCCATTCAGGGAAAGAATCCACATTATTCCTAGTCACTCTACTGTAGAAAAAAAAAAAGGGATAAGCTCATTCACTTTTTGTTGTGTAATGGCAATTCACAAAATAAGATATTCTTAGCCAAAGTAAAAGTTATGGGATATTTGGCCTTATAAATGGCCTAAGGGCATCCATTTGGGCAAGAAAAGAATGATTGAGTCAGTATGGCAGATATCATACCATCAGTGTAAATCTCATACCTGTTTACTTGAATCAATGAAAGCTTTAACCCTTTGCTGTTGTTTTTATATCTTAGACTGCCCCAGTTCCCAAAACTGTGAAGTAGTCAGTTTGATGAAAGCTGATGGCTAGGCAATGATGAAAATCCATGAGAGCTGGTATAAAATATGTCTAAATCATATCAATATATTTAATGACCCCTCTGAAAATGCTTCTTGGAAAATTATTAACTAATTATCACCAACAAATATTTTCCCCCTAAGTCAAATCACTTTTATATGAAAATCAATTTGCACTTTTTATAACATTATGTGGCCTTCCAGTGTACCAGCCATTAAATCTAGGCAAATCTTGCATGATAGAGTAAAAAAAGTGCTCATAAGAACCTGTAAGACTAAAATTTCCTAGTCAAGCACTCTTCACATGAGAACCATTTTAGGCTAAAATCTCAACACAGGCTCTTATTTTGGTAACATAGAAATTTTCAAATATAATATCATACATCACATGCAATACAAAAAAGGGTAACAAAAAACTAGCCAGAACACTGGCAGTGTTATAAGACCTCAATACTGTATTGTCAATACCTCTATAGTGGTGTAACGCATTCAACTGTGCGTATAGGTTAACCATGTAAAGCAGGGCGCTATAAAGCTTGAATAGCCAACAGTACCACACCCATGCCTAAGAATATAAATTGTGGTTTCTTTTTTTTTTGTTTTGTTTTGTTTTTAATGATAAAAACCTAGGTAACCTAATTTCACAGATAAAAACCATTTATTTAAGAACCTATGGAGGTTGACTTGAAAAAACCTAGGTTTTTACTGTACCTGACTGTTTGAATTTTATTTTAAGATGATATACAGAATATTATATATTTTGTGTCAGGTGAATTGAATTGTCCAGATTTTTTGAATGGTAGTGTTACACTGAGAAGAAGAAATTTATTATTGTGCAGTAACCATGATTGAATTTTTGATTCATTATCAGTTATTTTGGCAAAAGTAAATGGGATAAAAAAGATGAATTACTGATTTTTACAAGACACAGGTGCTATGTTCTCTGCCTGATTCAACCAACTTCACAGATTTTAAACAATAAGCCCTCAGTGTGACACTAAAATGTTTCTCACCATTCATTTAGAATATTTCAATTTATACAGGATTTGGGAAAAAAATGTTTAAAACATTGTAAACAGTTTTGATATTCAGCTTTACTTCACTTAACAGTCTTTTAAAAATGTTCTCTATTGCTTCATTTTCTCTAAAGGGCAAAGGTTGTATTTTACAGCTTGCCAAAAATAGGAATCTTTCTACAACCTGGAGTATTAAAATGAAAAATTACCCAAGTTTATTCATTGACTAACTTTGAGTACCTTATTGTTAGTTGTAACAATATTATGAAATAAAGAAACAATTTAGGAATACATTACTTTTATACCAGAAAATGTTGGATCATTTTAGATTTAGTGTTCGTTTTGCCCTCATAATAAAAACTTTGTTATATACGCAATGATTCGATTTACCTCTCTTGTTCCAGTAAGGGCGCATTCGTTCCAATAAGCGCGCCCTCGTTCCAATAAGCGCGCCCTCGTTCCAATAAGCGCGCCCTCGTTCCAATAAGCGCGCCCTCGTTCTAATAAGCGCGCCCTTGTTTCAATAAGCGCGCCCTCGTTCCAATAAGCGCACCCTTGTATCCATCAATTATTTTTGCCCACGCGCGGTCGGTTTCAACGAGTCAAGTAATTAGGTATGCCATGTTGAACTTGGAAATACAAAACAAATCATGCGCTATAGTTTCCACTGGAATAAAGTTTTCCACCTCTTGAACAAACGATGTTCGAGGACAACTACTCGTGCGCGAAATGGAGGCTCTTTTTATGGATTAAAATTTCTCAAAGCATTACTTTGCGTGGGTGGAACAAAACTTTTACACAGTTTTTAATTTTCAAATTTCTCATGTACAATCCAGTGAGCAAAGAATATTCTTACCTTTGTAGCAAACTTTCAATATGCTCGCGTTTCGAAAGTTTGCTTTCGTGCTCTGATGAAGGGTTAATGTTCGTAACGATAGCAACTCAAAGTTCGCCCGAGGGGCTTAACATACCTATATTTTAGCAAGAGATAATCATCCGCCCACGAAAGCACTGTTTCTGGTTTACGTCTATGTCTACCGAGTTCTAAGTTAAGCACACTTTTCTCCGATGCGAACATGTTTTTAGGACATTGTTCCGTTCATCCCTAGTCCTTCTCTACGATTCCAATCCTGAATTGCGTTCAGTCACGCAATGAATGATTGAAAATTTAACCTTGGGGCCCAGGCTTTAGTTTTTCCAATCACGCAATATGCTCAACTGAATTCAAGCGTCTACGAGCGTGCCTCAAAATGCGTTCTAAATTATTTGTAGATTGATTTTTCTTACTGTAATGTACCGTGCGCGAAGACTGAGATTACTGCTCTCTTGGGCGCTTCTTTTTTTCGTTGTTTTATTTCTCATCAAAAACAGAAAACGCCGAGGCGAGAGAATGGCTGATGGAGAGGACGTTCTTTCGTTCCGGAAAAGTTCTAAACTTTCCACGACCGAGAGTAATGTCGACGAAAAGCTTGGGGAAGGACGCTTAAATGTATCAGTTTGGGAAGAAATCTGCGGTTATGAACTAATGTCACTGAAGGAGTTCCCGCTTTTCCCACACTCGCCGACATCACGCCGAAGCACGTCGACCTTGCGATTACGCTTCAAACAAAACTTAGTAAATGTTGGATTACGAATTTTCGGATTTATTTCGCCGATAGAATCTGGGAATTACAACTTTCATTTAGCTTCGAGTGGATCGACGGAATTGTGGATTAGTTCGGATACGAACCCCGAAAATAGCAAGCTTGTGGGAAACGTAACATCGGGGACAACTCGGACACATGATGGAAATATTATTTCTTTATCAGCGCGAAAGCTTTACTATTTAGAAATTTTACATAAACATGGCCTTCACAGCCAACATAATTTCATGTACGTTAAATGGCGATCTTCGACTTGGAAAGAGCAAGGTTATAGAGATATTCCTTCAGATTTACTTATGCCATCCGAGGACGATCAACATTCAAATGTATTTGGTAAAATTAAACTGCAATCGTTACTGAATCAGCGAGTTGTTCAGCGGGATACCATCCTTCCAATGCACGTTCAACAAAGTGAACCATCCTTTGTAAATGAAGAAGTAAAACGTCGTTCAGAAATGTATTTTCTTCCCTTCATCACCGAAGAAGACACTAAAGATTTATTCCCGCCGTGTCAGTATAATCCATCCTACATAGTGAAAAATCCTTTAGATAGATACCAGTCCATGTGGGAAACACATTACACCTCGATTTATCCTCACGACCATGCAGATATTATGAGAAAGAGGTGGGAAACGGACGATTTTGTGACTTTTGGTAACGATCAGTTGGACGAAAATGCAGCAAGGAAGATTGTTGCTCAAGTCTGGACGCAAATTCAAGTCAAGTCCCCAAGGTATATAAGTTTCAATTTTTAATGTTTTCTTTTGACTGCACCTTTTTACTAGCGGATTGTATTCGTCCTCGATTAGGTTAGTCAAAGTTTAACAGGACTATTATCATGGGATTCACCGTATCTGATTAATTTAAAAATTTTCGCTCTTTGCTAATGTGATTCACGTCGAAAGAATGGGAACTGCGATTGCATGCTATTGACACGGTTCATTCATGCGCATTTCAGTTTCATTTGAAACGAACTAGCGAACTATCGATCGACTCGATTCAACAACTAACGTGTTAGAGAATTAAAATTTTGTCATGCTCTGACAATATGGCTATCGCATATGACTCCGTAAATTGTTCAATCGCCTCGTCTATTTATGCTCCTTGCGACCTACACGCGAACACGTTTGAGAATTATAGAATTTTTATTTCCTTTCTGCGCGGTTAATTTTAAAAAAAATTTAAAAGCAGCACTCAGTTTTCCTGCAGTTTGGTGAAAGTACAGGCAACTTGAGAAAATTTGGTTCCAACAGCAATTAAAAAAATGCCGAATACTTAAAAAGTTCAAAGGTAAATCGTCCAAGTGGAACCAGTTGTGATTATGGCATCGGAAAACTACAATATTTTGTCAATGAAATTGTGAAACAGATGAGCACGTGGCGAAGATATATATTTGATTAGATACCTGTTCGGCTGCCTTATCGGCTAATAATGTTTACTTGAAAATTTTGATTGCTTCAACTTTTTGAAGCTGGCTCACTGATTCGATTGCAATCATCTTTTACGGTGTGAAGCTTGTTTGCTCAGTGATTGTGAAAGACACTAAGTCTCCGACACCTCGAGCAATAAGTTAGTAAACAAAACATCTAATTTTGTGTTTTTGACTGAATTTAATTCCTTAGGACCTTATCCTTCTCTAAGATAAAACTGCAGGTACAAAGGCAATCTATTTTTTTCTACATTGTTTTATTTGTCCAAAAATTGTATGCACAATGAATTTGTGAGCTCTTAGAAAATCTTGCCTTTTTCGTTGGTATGGTAATCATTAACGATGCCTTGTCGAAATTTTATATGATGTCGGGATCGTAGATGGAATCTTTGGGGTCAATTTGCAGAATTATTCCTTATCTTTTCGCACTAGTTTACAGCATAGACAAAATACGTTTTAATGAGTTATCGAAGCGACCGCAAACTGATTACAAACAAAAGGTTTTTGTGCACCTTCATGAATGGAATAGTGACAAGGTCTAGCAGTTTCTAGATTATAATGAAGTAAAGCAAATTTATAAGTTAAATGTTGAGGGGTAAGAATTAACCAGAAAATCTACATTTAAAGCCTTAGCCGAAGCCAAAACGAGACGCGCAGGTGTCCTACTGGTATACCAGTTGCATTAAAAAATGTCTCATTTTGCCCCACTCGACCTGTTCTCACATCATTCGTAAAAATGGCGTTTCAGTCCTTTGACTTTAACTAATTAACTCTCAGTGGAAACTCAATGGATTTCGGAAAATATTGAACAAACAAATCAAGCAAAACCGAAAGGCCTTTATTATAATGTTTTCAACTTCGTTTATTTCATAAAAAAAAAACCACCAGAGGCAACCAAAAAAAAATGCCCAACAGCTGTTTGATAAAAAATTAATTCTCGTCAGCATCGTCAATAACCCAAACCTCACCTGGTGAAAGAAGTCGCATATAGCTGTAGTCCCAACCTGAAAGATAATTTTAGTGAAAGGTTAACCAGAATTCATTCCACTCTTGCTTGAAGAAGTGAAAACATAAATTTTGCTTTAGTTGGAATCGCTTTAGGAGATCACAAATCCATTTTGTTACACGATGTCGTATGAGTGTAGACCGGAAGTAAAACTTGTGACGTTTAGGTTCCGTTCTTAAAACAGGTGGGGCTGTTAAGACTTCCGTTTAGGCGTCTTAAGCAACAATACAGACGAAGAACCAAACGTTTCCATTTTGACCTCATGGGTTTGGAATGTAGAGGTAACAAGAAAAATTTCTCAGTTTCCTTTCTGCTGCATTGTAGAATCTGGCTTGTCACATCGTTTGGTATGATTGCGTGACGCATGAAAGGACGTAATCAAAAGTATTTCGACCATTTGAAACATGCATGCCAGTGTCATTCGCTGAGTAACTTCATCTTTCATTTTAAATCACCAGTCTTAAAAATTGCTATCATCATGTACATCATCGATGCGCAAAAGTATTACATTCGGCATTCCTATCCTAGCAGTATGCATTTTTCACCATGGACCTAGTCAAACGGACCAGCCTGCCAAGAGTTTCCTAAAAGCTCAGTGGTGAAGCATTTAAAGTACTCGGAGCACTCGGAGTTCTTTTTTCCGAATATGCCAGTGTCATTCATTGAATAACTTTATCATTCACTTGTTTTCCTTTTTCTCCTTTGCATTACAGGAAGTATATCCTTGAACACATCTTGAATGTGGAAGAAAATCATGATCCTGAAAAGGGTGACAGATATTTAGTAGAACTAGAACTGAAAGAAATTTCAAGTAGAAGATCTTTGAGGTTCTCTGAATATGTATACCGGCTTAAGGAATCGGGTGCTTTTTGCATCCCTGTGGGCGTGGCATGGAACAAGAGGGCTGTCGTCAACATCCTTCTTGCAACCGGGAATAATCAGGGGCGATGGACTCTCCATTTTCTTGATCACATGTCAAGAATATACAATAAGACCATGGATTTCAATTTTAATGTAATTATCGCTGAATTCGATGGCATCGATGTTGACTTAAAGGAAGCTCTGAGGAAGAGTGGAATCCCACAGTATCGGCATATTAGACTTCGAGGAAGATTCGAAAAGGCAAAGGGGCTACAGCTGGCTGCCAGTACGGTTACAAATCCGAACTCAATAGTGTTTGTCATGGATCTTCATTTAGATATTCCCTATCATTTTCTAGATGATGTCAGAAAGGTTTGTGAGAGTTTTGCGCACATCGTTTTTTCTCTTTTAATATCTTGTCCATCAACTAAGAAAAACAACCTTTGGAGCGAGTATGGATCATCGAAGAGCCAGAAACCTGGTAACTAGAGTATAACAGTTTTCACTGAGCAATAGCCCAAAAGAAAAGAGAAATCTCTTCATTTAGTTAGTAGTCGGACATAGAGCCGTTTTTTTCTTACTGATACTTAACCTCAGTTCCTCTGACCCTAAGCGTGACCTGCTTCTAATTTCTCCCTTGAGTGTCACCAACGGTCAAACTTTAGCAAATCAAGTGCGTCTATTTTCTCTTTCCCTCTCCTCAAGCATTTACGTTCGTTAGATTCCCCGTGGTTCTTACCTTGCTTACACAGTGATCTAAGGAAGAATAGAGAGGTCTGTGAATAAGCTATGTCCTTTGTTTCAGGATTGTTTCATGAAATGCTGCGCCCATATCACGGACGATTTCTGAGTGTTCCGTTTTCAGTAGATCTAAATTTGGAGGGGTTGAATTTCCTCGCCAGCGTAAAGCAGATAGAAGATTTGCAATTGTAGTCTGATTTTTGGAAACATGTTTCGGTGTTTTTCTGCAGCATTGTGTTCAAGGCAAGATCGCCTACAGTCCCATACTCGTTCGACTATCTTGTGGGGCGACAGCACGGCATCGCAGAGGCTTTTGGGAACACTTTGGTTACGGTTTGATGGGCATGTACAAAAGTGACTGGGACAGAATTGGAGGAATGAATGTAGAAGAGTTCAAGAACAAATGGGGTGGAGAAGATTGGGAGATCTGTGATCGCATTTTGATGAATGGTATGGAGATAGAGAGGCTAAAAATGGTTCATTTATTTCATTATTTCCACACCAAAAAAGGCATGTGGTCTGATGTTAGAAATGACACAGATATTGTCGAGTACACAGACCTCTCCTGACATAATAAATGAGTGTGATTTGCAGCCGGAATGCAATAAATAAGATTTGACAGACAAATAGGAAACTTTTGAAATTGGCACTTTAGTGTAGATAAGATATTCATATATTTTAACTGAAGAATAGTATTATTTTCTCGTTGACTTTCATCGAATTTATATGCGAAAAAGAAATAAAAAGGTATACAATTCATGAATTTATGGACAAGTTCACCTCGATCGATTATACAAAACGAATTCTTTTTTTTCTTTTTTCACTATATACAACAAATTTTGAGTGTGAAAACGATCAAATTGCATGTTATCTTGTGATTGGACAGCCGCCACTGGATAACCTCTTGACATCGATCTGCTGATAACCAATCAGAATCGAGAATTTTCTCACAGGTTCGAATAGTTTCGAAAATCCTCGAGGGGCTTACGCCAATTATAAAGGTCGCCACACACACGGGGGGACTAGTCCCTGCAACTATTCCCCTGAAGAGTTTACACGAAGGGACTGGTCGCAAGGACTAGTCCCTAGTAGTGTTTACACGCAGGGACCAATTGCACAGGAAAGTAGCAAAAACTGGGGGCAAATGGTGTCATTCTTTCACTCTACAGCTTTCTTAAGAAACCAAAACTCTTAAAATAGCAATGTAACATTGCAATAAATCAGCTTAGTACAAACCGCAGATTGTTCAGCGAAATTATGCAGTGCTTGAATTGTTTCTGATTCAGTTAGGATATAAGCAGAAATAACGCTTTGTTACCGATCAGATGTGGCCAATACAGAAACAAAAGGGGCGGAAATTCGATCAAGATTTCCAGTACTCGTGTAAATTATTTCAGAACTGGTTTAATCCCGGGAAGGAAACATCAAAGAAATTATCCCGGAAGTCACGCAATCGCCTCTGTACATTGTGTTTTCAGGCGGGAAAATATGGCAAATATGATTGTGATACCGATCTGTGATTGGTTTATTTAAATTTGGTCGCAGGAACTAGTCCCACGAACAGTTCACACGAAGCGTTTTGAGGAACAAGTCCAGGGACCAAATTTTAGTCCCTGCGACTAGATTTTGTGGCAAAAATGGCAATTTCAAACGACGGGACTTGTTCCCTGGACTTGTTGCAGGGACTAGTCGCAGAGACTAGTCGCAGGGACTAGCCGCGTGTGTGCCGACCTTACAGATGATATGCTTTACTTTAATTAATTTTTGATGCTAATACATCAAGACAAAAATACTACGAAAAAGAAAGTATGCAATCCGTCTTCTCTTGTGTTTCAATTTGCGGTTCGTTTACCCTTGTTTTTGTTATTTCAGTTATGTTTTCATACGACATATTAAGACATATTATTTTTTACACTCCATGGTAATATGGGGTGTTACAATGTTGTTAACCCTTTGATATATGAAGAGTGACCGGCTTCTAATTTCTCCTTACAATAATACTGCTGGATCATTTATTAAGATCATGGGAATAAAGGAAATTATTGACAATCTATGTAGTTTTGATTGATACACGAACTCTCCTTACAGTACCAAAGGAAAAGTATTGAGAAGAGTATGAAGAATGTGGATACTGATTTTAGGGCGTAAAGGGTTAAAGGGGAAAATGGTAAAAGAACAGAAAGCCAGCAAAAGTTTTGACAAAAGTTTTTCGAAATTAGCTTGGAACAAATACATTGGAAGTACATGACATTAACTGATTTAGCTGTAGCTATGAGCGAAACCATAGCACATCACGGAGAAACAACATCAACGAATAATAATCCATTAGGAAGTCCTGACTAGTTCTCCTTGAGGACATTATGAAATGTTCGACTGCTTTGTCTACGTCTTTCTCGCTTTGTGTCTTACGCGTGAAAATTCCGCGGTAAAAATGACAAACTTCTCGCTTCTCCCCTTCCCCGCCCTCGCCCTAACACCTTACGATTCAGCAAACTAGTTTCGCAAAGGGAGGAAACGCACATGGTCGCCTCTGGTTGAACCTTTGGTGAGAGATGGAATTGGTTTGTAAGCCGCCGAGACATTTTGCTTATCAGAAGTATGCAGCCCATATTACGCCTGCTTCCAGTAAAGAGGTCAGCGGTGGCCAGTCTTTCGCTAGTGGTGATAGACGGTACACAACAACAATTGCAATACAGTCTCAGCCACGAATAGTGCGAC